CAGCTAAGATTCATTGTTTGTAGTACTGATTTAAAATGGCACATCGTTTATCATACATTTATCCTCACGTCTAGTTCACCCTGTCTATTTCAATCCATTTCCAGCTCCATACTTGGTGTTCTCTTATTTCAAACATTTTGTTCTTTGCCTCTATTTCGCTTTTACTCTGACTTTTAATCCTTTCCGTAATATTTTTTCTATAGCTATTTGCTGTTTTGTGTTCTGCTTAGCGGCTGTTCTAGGTTATGTCACTATTACATTCAACTCTGCATGCGATCCCCGTTGCGAAGTTAGCAAGTTTCACAGCAGTGGCTAACTGATAATAAAATTATCATATAAAAAAGTTGTTAAAAACGCTATTCATGGATATTCGTGGCCGTAAAATTACAAGATGGGAACAAGATTGAAATAATTTCAACCTTGCGTGACAAATATTTGAGTGTCACATCTACACACAGACTGCTTCCCGTCTTGAACGTCTTCGGCAAAGAACATTTCACCTGCCGTTTTAAATGATCGAATGGTCCTCTTTCAAGTCGACAGTGAAGCTCAAGTTTATCCTGGAACTGTCTTAAAACTTAGAGGTTTTCAAATACGCAAAGAAAAAGCGACGCCCTCCGGTCATGTGTTATTGTAAACAATTTCGCCATGGGAAATGGATGAGAATTTGAAACGAAAGCAGAGATAATAACCATTCTGCCGTGGTTAGCTATGCAAGGCTAGCTTACTGTATTGATTTCCTGATCAAACACGGTGCTAGCTTCTAAAATGTGCTAGGAACTCCGGATTTAATCACAGGGAGCCTAATTAGATTATGTCGTGATGTAAAGACGACGTTGAGATTTTCACAAAGTTCAGCCTGGTTTTTCCGTGCGGAAATGAAAAGCTCCAAACTAATTTTTATATCTTCGAAAACAACACCATTTCCACTTTTCACGAGCTTAACCTGAACGGATTCTGAGTTATAGCGCATGGGGAAAACGATAATTGAAAATTTGCTACGAATGCGATATTTGGATTTTGAAATATTGGTGAGTTTTAAAAGCGTCCCGGCGTGAGGATAAAGTTAAATGAAGTGGTCCCGTTTAAGAATTAAGCCATGCCTCAATCCCTCCTAAACAAATTTGTCGAGTTGATACGAGCTTGATTTCTTTTGCACTTCTCATGAACAAAGTTCATTTGCCTCAACTCGGGGCATTGATTTCCGCCATTTTACGGCTACGGACGTTCGTCTCAGTTTTCGTGAATATTCTAGGATAAAGAAGGATGTCTAGAAAAAAGAGGACCTTACCACGTTTCTAAGTTCAGTATAAGATATCTCTAAGCAAAATATGACAGTTTTCAATTTTTGAATCATGTGCCACATTTTTCGATTTTCATTCGGTCAATTCAAACATTCGCTCTTAAGAGCGTGTCCACGAGAAAACCGGGCAGAACCGGGCAGGGGTGATAAACCTCAAATCACAAAATCATTAGTTAATAAATGTGTGAAAATAACAGGTCAAAATATTCAATTCCCTAGGAAACATAGGGTCCCCCTGGGAAAACCCCTATTTCCTGCATCTTTTGCATAATTAACTATCTAACTATGCAATGATGCTGTGACAAACTAAAAATCCATCTGCAAATTCCATCAACTGGGTTATATTTTATATCTATCCGACTTCTAGAAAATTTCATTGTGTTAACTTTTTCATTTCACTTCTTCCCTTACCTCTCCCTTAAGAAAAGACGACTTTTTCAAGTTTTGTCAAAGTCCAAACATAAGGGTATTTTACGGCCCAATATCTCCGATGAGCAACCACTTGTGATAATTATTCCTATACGGGCAGTGAAAGCCATCACTGGACGTCTAAGATCAGTAATAAAATTTTGGGCCAATGTATTTCATAGCACGTGCTGACGTGAAATTTACGTGTACCTCCCGCTTTTTAATCTATATCATCAAATCTCCTTACACCACACATTTGTTTTATTAAATTAAAATAAATTGAAATTTACAAGAAATTTCCTAGAGAGTATCGTTTAAACATGAACGAGGAGAGAATATTTCAATAGCGCCAGTATAGCCATTGTTGAGAACTTTTTTCTCAGCCATATTTGGATTACTCTCGAGGAAACGCAGAAGTTGATGATTAACATCAAGGGCACGTGTAGTCGAGCTTTCTGACAAAATAATCTGGGAAGAAACTTGATAGTACAAACATGTCTCTTTGGTGCCTCAGTTGCAACTTTTGGCTTGATATCATTTGTTAAATAAGTAGCCAGCCATTATGTCGATCAGCTATGTACCAGATTCGATTTGCTTCGTTGCCTTGTTGAAATATTAAACGCAGACAGAGCTCTCGGAAAGATCCACCAAAACGGTTGGTAAGTTACGGTGTAATATTTATCGACTTACATGATATGTGCTGGTGCCAAAAAGATAATTTGAAGCCCTAAAAGCTGATATTATCAAAAGGACAATCCGCCATCTTTGATTGGATCGCGCGTGCATTTTTGTTCAGCGGTCAACTTTGACATTTATTTGGTATGTTGTGTTTCTCGTCTACGAGGTTTAAAATCTAAGAAAGATTTACGGCTACCAAAATATTTGACTTGTTATTTGTTAAGCTTTAGATTGTTGTTGGTTCACCGAAAAGCAAATAAGCCAGTGATATATTGGTCTCCTATGAGCACAAGTAAAAAAAAAACAGAAAATGGTCAAAATCTGACACGTATATAGAAATTACTCACATATTTTATCCGAGGTTTACTGCATACATTTGATATGTAATGTCTTGCGGTGTACTGTCATATTATATCTGGCCTCGGAGTGCATGATATATTCTGGCAACCTCTCTGCCCCGGCCTCATTGTAACTGATTGTATGACATAGACGCTCCACCGCTGAGTAATATTGCCGGCTTGGTAAAGGATGGCCCACCGTTTATCACGTAGACGGAGGGACTAGGGGAACTATTTTACCACGAGATCTAGTGATCCCTTGGCAACCTTCCAACATTGTATGTGTTTGGAGATCAGCAATGTTTATTTTTAGTAAAGGACAAGGATGCATCAATGTCAAAGTTATCCAATTCAGTTAAAAATGATAATGAGATCAGTTTGAAAAAAATATCTATCAGACTTGAATGCCACAGTGCTAGTCCCACTACCGCCGACTTTCTGTGGTCGAATATCCTATCCAAGACTTAAGGTTACTTCCCACCTTTGCAGGTGTCCTTAGGAAAAATTCGTACGCGCGCTGCTTTCATTACGCTTTACAAACTATACATCAGAAGAGGGCTTAATAAATTACAATATTCAAATATTAATTTCTTATGGTTTCTTTCTTGGCCCGCCGTAGCCGGCGCGTCCAACTTTAAAAGAGTTCGGGCTAAAAATGACAAAAAAATGTAATGCGATCCGTTAAATGCTGTCACGCAAGAGGTCAAGGCCAGTCTTTCTAGCGTGGCCAGGAAACAAATACATGACTTCTTGCGTGACATCTGTTCAACGGATCGCACTACATTTTTCGTCACTTTAGCCTGAACTCTTTCCAGTATGGACTCGCCGGCTATGGTGGGCCAAGAAAGAAAGTTTAAGAAATTAAACTAAAAGTAAAGCTTAGGGAGAATTTCTATTTTGATTTGTAAGTATATTATACAAGACCTTTTCAAAGGCCTTTAAATGGGTCATGACAGCTGTTCAGCGGTTCGCACTGAATTCTTGATGAAATAGCCTTAATTCTTTTAAACCTGGACGTGACGCATATGGCGGGCCAAGATAGAGAATCAGAGGAATTAAAATACAAGGATAAAGCTTTAAGATGATGTCTACTATGACTTTTAAGTATATATGGGAGACTTCTTCATAGGCCACTGAGGTTGACCTTTATTTTACATCCGCGAAAGAGACGCGAAGTACTTTATTTCAACGGGCCACTATTCAAACTTAAAGGGAACAACATAACAAGAAATTAATATTTTCCAAGAGATGTAAGAACCATCTGCTAGCGCACAAAATTTGAAATCGAGATTGCATCGCGTTGTAGCGTATGAAGTTACCGAAGTTGCATAGTTTTTCATTGCTTGACTGGGGAGACAACGGCCATTTAGGAGTATTTTGAACTTTTTGCGATAGAGCTCTTTGCGATAGAAATTTTTGCGATATAACTTTTTTATATCATTTTCGAAAAAGGTTCACTAAAGAGGTCCTTTTAAAAAAAATTAATTACGAGATTTTGTAACTGCGGGCGGATTCTCGATATTTATGGTCAGAGGCTCTTAAGGGTTGTGTATAAAGACAGCTCATGATCACGGACCACACATCATTTTAATTATGAACTAATATATACAAACGAGGAGAGCAAAATGTGGAATAGGTTGCTTATTGCAATTTTTTTAAACCTGATTAAGCTCTGTAGTCAATACAGGCGATATCAATCCTAAGTAATAGTGTCCCTGAGACACTTACATCGCATGTAGGGAGTAAGATTTGTAACTCATTATTCGGTTCCAGGCCTTAAAAGAGCCCGCTATTTTAAGTCCTACTAGTAGATCTGGAAATATTATTAAGGGAAGGATTAAATAGGAGTAACTATCGTTTGTTGATCGGTACAAAATGGTACAAAATACTTGATGATGTGGGTTGTAAATCTTAGCTGGAACATCAGGGAACAAAGTACTGGAACAATAGAAAACTACTTTCATTCCTAAGCAAAATCCCCGGTGAAATGGCGATAAAATGTGCGACATAATTTCTTTGAACGTTTGCTTGTCTTGCAACAATTCACAAAGTTGATTTTTGGACTTGCAGCTCGTTATGACCACATCGGGAGACAAACAATTATATTTCTCATTAAAATTTTCGAAAAACATTATTAAAAGGTAACATATGTCTCGTTTCGTTTCCATTTTTTTCTTTATTTGTTTGTTTGTCAGTTTGTTTTGTGTTCATACTGCATTTATAATTTTAATGCGACATTAGGATTTTACTCGATTGTCTCTCTCCCTATGTAGCAAAAGCGTCTGCTCAAGTTGTTCCAGAGACACATCTGACACTCAAAAAGGGAGAAGTCCTCACATTGACTTGCAAAGTCAACGAAAAAACCGTCAAGATAACTTGGAAAAAAGATGGAGAATCATTACAAGAACGAGCAGTTATAGATACCCGACTACATGAGACAAAGAGTAAGCTTGTTATTACTGAGCTTGGGGAAGAGGACAGTGGTAAATATTGTTGCGAAGCAACTAACAAGCTTGGAACTGTGGCTCGCTCTTCTGTGACATTGGATGTAAAAGGTGAACTGGTGTTACCATAAGGTCATTGCTGTAAACTAGAACCTCAACTTTTAAGTTCGAAAACTCTTCCATTGCTTGGTTTTTTTTCTATTTATCTCCTTGAAATTTTCAATTTATCATTGAATTAAAACGAGGCTAGAGACAGTAGCAGAATCTCACACGTGGAGGTAACTATATGATTTGTTACGATAACATACCTTGTGATTCGGGTAGCTGTTCAATTTACATTCCTTAGGATTATTTCCTTTTCTGCTCTAAGGTTGATGTTACTCTTTAGTGAGCATCATTGCCAATCAAATTGCAGATTAGTAGAAAGTTAGTAGATTTATACTGATAGATGGTGTAATAACTGATAACGAAAACTCTCACATTTATGTGGTCAAGGTGCAGGTCAAACGGGCTTTTTGATCAGTCTTATAGCAATCGCACAAAAACAAAAACAAAATTATTAAAAGGAGTCATTTTTTTTTCTTTCTTTTTACATCAGAGTTACCCTTAAGATCTCTCTTGGTTCTTTTATTCTTTCTCAAGTACGTGTCATAGTCATAGCGGGCGTCTCATATTTGTCCTTACAGAACTACCCACCGTCGAAATCTTTCCAAAAGAGCCACATTCCATATTGGAAGGGGGTACACTCAAACTTACTTGCCTGTTCCAGAAAGTTAAAAATGTAACTTGGAAAAAAGATGGTGCCACAAACATTCAAAACGCAATAGTCAAAACCGAAAAAGGGAAGAGCAATATCACCATATCAGATACTCAGCCTGATGATAGCGGTAAATATTCCTGTGAGGCGTTCAACCAAGCTGGCAGCAAATCCGCTGATGCAATGGTAAACATAATGGCACGAAGACAACTAGCTGGTCAGTGTTTAAGTCGCATTGTATTTTAAATTCATTTCCCGTTGTACTGTACTGGATATTTTTTACCATCAACCCATCCCTCTCTCCTTCTGTCAATGGGAAAAATATTATGCTTCCTCCTTCTTTTCTTCTTGTTATCATCTATTTGCCTTATTCTTCCAAGACAAATGGATTTCAAATTCTACCCCTTTACTTTTATACCCTGATAATACACGACACTGATTACCTTTGTCAACAAACTAAATTGCTTTCCTACATAAAATACAGAAGTTCCATCTAGCAGCTCATTGGAGTGGTACTTCATTGGTGGACCTGTGGTTGCTGTCATTTTCCTACTGGTTCTCACTGCATACATAAAAACACGGCGTGCGATAGGTAAAAGGAACTTTTAGGAGGTGTGATAGGTTACCCAATGAAAACAAAATGTTTTGATACGGTAAATTGTGGCTTTTTACATGTCAGTGTTTAGGATTATAAAGGAGCTATTTTTATCAGGTCACATTCTGCATTTCCAGAACTGACATCGAAGGTCCCTTTTCCCTCCCTCAAGCCCATCAGCTAATCTAGTCACAAGAAGGTTATAAATCATATCCAGTTTATCACCATTGCAAGCCACCTTATTCCTTCTTAGTTTTAGTCATAGTCTAAGATAAGTTACATGTGACTTTTGAAACGAGTCGTAAGCTTTGACTAAGTTATTGATGTCATTCTTGGTCACAACGAAGCCATTTCTACATCTTTTTCTACATATCCTTGGAAAATAGCCTTGCAAGAGGGGCCCAGCAGGTTGAAGTTAGTAGATTTTCTTTGTTTAATGGTTACTATATGCATTTGAGTATGTTGCTATACCCGAGGTTTCCAACTCTTAAAGAAGTCTGTGCGGAGAATTGTTAAGCGCTACTGCCGAGAAAAATGTGTCCTATCTTAGCTTGGTAGACTTGTAGACTCATTTTAAATATTACTTGTTTAGTCAATTATAGACCAGTCCCAATTTTTAGACATCGCTTTGGTCCGTGTTGGTTAGTAATTCATTTACCAACCATTAGACGGGCACGTAAGAGACACGGTATTCAAATGACGTAAAATGCAAAACACCAAGTTGGTACAAGGTATCTTTAGGTTCCACATACGATGTTCATTCAGTGCTTTTTTAAAAAAAATCGAATCTCTGGTACTGGGATGGTGTGGCAAGGGCTCAGTCAGCCGACTAGTATCAGATTTTCATCTATTTCAACAACTTTCCATTGGCAAACGAGAATTTTATGAATCCAATGAAACAAGCAAAGAAGAAAACGCAACTCCCCGTTAGAACTAAAAGACAAAGAGGACAATAAGCCAGACTCAGAGATATAAAGACAGATAGGTAACAAACAAAGTTAAATTAAAGTCCTGTTTTCATCTGCAATTATTCAGTGAAGAACAATATGAAGTTGAGATGGGTCAGCTAAATGCAAACACGGATGAATGGGAGATTGCAGTTGACCGCCTAAACTTTCGCGAGCCCATTGGCAGAGGGGCATTTGGTTCAGTGTGGCGAGCGCTACTTGGTCGGTCCCGTGGCAGACGTGGAAATCGCACAGTTGCTGCGAAGTGTTACCTGCGTAAGTATATTTTTAAGATCCCTCGTTGTTGAAACCTTGATTGAGATTTCCTCGACAATCAGTGCGCGCGTCGTATTCTACGTTATGTTATGAAAGCATTTTAAAGTGGAAACTACTACTGACAATAATTAAGTCTCGCTTTACTTTCATCCCACCTCCAATCACGTGCTCTTCTCATGCGGCGGTGGTCCCCGGTAAATATTCGAAGGAAAATTCCCCCTAACGTCGAATCTTTTGCAATGTTACCCTCTGAGAGACTTTTCCCGGAAAATTTTGTTATGTGACCTCAAAGAGGCCACGAGAGCGTGCAGTTCTGGGTAGACAAAAATTCGAGTCATATGTCCATACATGACATGTTATGTATGACTTAGCGTAAAGTGTATCACCTTGTTTCGTAAATGAAATTGCGGACCAGTTATAAGTCGTAAAAGCGAAGCAGAACAGATTAATCACAACAAAACCATAAAAACAAAAACAACAAAAACAAAGAAACAAGCGATAAAAAATCAAAGAAAATAGGAGACTACAAGCGATAACTCACTTTTTTTCTTAGCAAATATAAATGAGTTTTTTGTTTAGATATGTAAGCCGTATGCGCTGTAACGTGAGCTGATTATTCAGCACCAACTATACAATACTTTATGATGAGCACGTTAACCACAAAAGAAAAATTTCTTTTTTTTTGGTTTCCTAGCAATCTCTGGAGAGCAAGGAAAGAAGGCCCTGATGAGAGAGATCGAGTTATTAAAACTCTTTGGAAGGATGGGTCATGAGAATGTTGTTAAGTTTATTGGCTGTGTTACAGTCGGAGGTAATTAGCTATTGTTATGATTGTAATCAGCTGAGTCACAGTAAGGATAAAAACATCACCGAAGTGAACTGCTGGTAGAATAAATTCTTTTATTACGATGGTGAGCTAATTTAAGGAATATCTCCATTTTTTGTGGTTTAGAGACGTTTAGTTCAATTTTATTCAGTTTTCTTGCTACCTTTGTAACATTTACATAGTAATGGTAAAAAAATGCTTCGATTTAGGATGACAAGTCTCTGCTTATGTATCTTCGTTCTCTTTTTGTATGTCTTTCTGCTCGTCTGTCCGTCCGTAGGTCTCTATGTGCCGTATGTGTCTGTTTGTCTTCGTACTTCTGTCGTTTGTTTCCCTCTTTCTATTTTCTTTGTCTCTACTTTGGTTCATAACAGATACAACCTACTATATGATTAAAATAAGCATGTACAATTTAGAACAATTTAGAATTTGGAACGTATTCTTTGTTTCCTTTATAATACTTTGACAACACTTTTTTTTTAAACTTATTTAGCTCAGCCAATACTTATTATGGAGTACATGTGGCGAGGTGACTTGCTGGGTTACCTCAGAAAATCCAGGGGGGTTTTCGACCACTACCATCGTGGGGTCGGAAGGGTCGACCACTTGACAACATATGACATGGTGCTGTTCGCTAAACAGATCGCAAATGGTATGACTTTTCTCGCGTCTAGAGGGGTAAGTGCTCAAACTCCTCTTGGTTTGCATTTCGCAAATCGATCTTTATACGACTAAAATGATCAAGCACATTGGAAACACTGAGTCATTGTGAATTATTTGTTCTTTCTTTATTTCGTTAGTAGCCCATCATATCCTTCCAATTTCAGATAATTCATCGCGATCTTGCAGCTCGCAACATCCTTCTCGATGAGCATCGTGTATGCAAGTTGACTGATTTTGGGCTCCCTTATCAGGGTTTTAAAAACGGCTCAGGAAATGCCGAGGTAATTTTCAGAACTTTTTAATCACTTGTTCAGCGAGTTGTTATTTGACTGCCATCAAATGCATCTCATTATACCTAAGGTTTAAACAAGAAATTTGTTTTGGAGCTGTTGCAATTGGTATGCTAGATTCAAATGTAAAAAAAACTAAAACGAAAAATGGGCGTATGCCAGTAAATGACGTTAAGTAGGCCTCTATTTTGAGACTCAAACCAAAACCTGAACTGACGAACCTTACTTCCTTTTATACAGTTTTGCCACCAAACATGTTTCTCTTATTGGAATGCCATTCTAAGCGTTTCGCAACTTTCATACAAACAAAAAAAAAGTTGTACACTGTACCAAAGGAGTGAAGGCAGAGAATAACAAAATCGGACTTCATAAATGTTTTTTTTTTAAGTGCAAGAATACCAACTCGAACATGTCGAAGGGTAGTATAACACAGGAGACGTAAAGAAAAAGGGGGCACGTGATTTTTATCTAAAGAAATTTATAGAAACGCGTGTGTTGCTCTTGGATTTATCGCGACTCCTCGCATCTTTGGTGAAAAGGGGTATAAATCTTTATCAAAAATATCTCAGAAATTGTATTCCAGAGTCTTTAAATTACATCTGCTTATAGTATTCTAAATATTCACCCAGGGATGTATCCCAGTCAAATGGAGTGCACCCGAGATTCTTATTGGCCATGTGGAACGGCTGTCAACCAAAAGTGATGTGTACGTACTGCACTCGTCATTATATAAATTATAAGTGTCAACCTGTTTACGATGCTTACCTAACGACTTGA